TGTCTCCTCCCCGGCCCCCACCTGCTCTTGAACTCCAGCCAAAGGGGCGTCCGCAGCGCGAGTGGCCCGGAAGCACACAGAGCCGGGGCTAAATTCCAGTTTCTCCACTCTCTGAGAACCGCTGCAGGGAGGGACCTCACCAAGTCTGCCCTGACGCGACTGGGTTTCGCAGATCCCACGGCCTGATAGGGGCGGGCGCTTGGGAAGCTGTGCCCAGAGGCCGAGCAAACCTTCCCACGTGCTTTCCCGGGACATCGGGCCGAGACCGGCCCCAGCTCCACGTGGCACTGAGCCTGTCTCCTTTCTTTCTTTTTTTTTGAAACAGAGTCTCACTCTGTTGCCCAGGCTAGAGTGAGTGCCATGGCATCAGCCTAGCTCACAGCAACCTCAAACTCTTGTGCTCAAGCAATCCTCCTGCCTCAGCCTTCCAGGTAGCTGGGACTACAGGCATGCGCCACCATGCCCGGCTAACTTTTTCTATATATTTGTAGTTGGCCAATTAATTTCTTTCTATTTTTAGTAGAGATGGGGTCTCACTCTTGCTCAGGCTGGTTTCCAGCTCCTGACCTTGAGCGATCCGCCCACCTCGGCCTCCCAGAGTGCTAGGATGACAGGTGTGAGCCACCGTGCCCTGCCTCTGTCTCCTTTCTTATTTGTCCCCAACCGCTGGGCACTTCTGGTGAAGTTTCCCCTCTGCCCCTCCAGCGGCTGTTCCTCCTTCCTTGTGGTTCCTGCCCCCACTGGCTCCTCTCTGCTTCCCCAGGAGGGACGCTTGGGCAATGGGGGTCCACTGAACTGCAGACAGACTGCCCTGGTTAACCTTCCTCCTGTTGTTGGAAGCTCTTCGGCTGGGCCCTGCCCCTGCCCCGGGCGGTATGTTGAGCTGGGGAGGAAGCCCCCGGGCGGAGGCAGGTGCACACGGGAACTCCGAGCTGGGGAGGCCAGGGCATCCCCTCCCCTGCCCAGGCCCCTGCTTCCCCCGTCCTGGTGTGGCAGAGAGTGGTCCAGGTTTTCTGGGTTTGGAGTTTTCCCCCCTAATAACCTGGGTGCAAATTTAGATTGTGCGAAGCTTACAAGTCTGGGGAAAGGGACAGACCATCTCGGGATGCTGCACGTGCCGTGTTGTCTGTGCAGCACCCCCCTGTGGCTGTCGCCCTTCTGTTTGAGCAGAAGGGAGCAGGGACTGCAGGCACCCTGGGCCTGCCCACGGCTCTCGCAGTGAGCTCCCGGGGGCTCCTGCCCGGCCTCCTGCCACCAGGGCCGGCTCTCTTACAGGACGGTGATGTTGCCCCACCAGCCCTTGCGCCTCATTTGTCAGGCTGGTGGCCCGGCCCCTCGGGATGAAGGGCTCTGACCCCCATGTGTTGGTGGGGCCCCTCCTTTCCATGCATTTAAGAGCGGGCGTGAAGGCCGGGGCTGTCACAGGCACTCTGTCTTCGTTTCTCTGCCCGAGTCTGTCGCAGGGACTGCAGTCCCAGCCCAAACTCAGGCTCCAGGCCAGGGCTGGCCCCTGGCTGACAGCCTCCCAAGGCCCTGCCAGCCCCGCGGCCCCCAGCCATCCTGCCAGAGCCAGGCCGCAGTCCTGGTCCAGCGGGTCTCCTCTCTGCTGGCAGGAGGCCTGGGCCATGCTCCGTGCGACAGATCCGGGCACCTCCCAGCCCTGGTGACGCCCCTGCCTTCCACCCTTTTCTTTCTGGGCAGGCCGGGGCCTGCGGTCTGGGTCTGCATGGAGGGATGAGGGCAGACCTGCCCTTTCCTTTGCAGGAGGTGGGGGTGGCCAGGTGTTCACCTCTGAGTCCCGCCCACACAGGTCAGGCAGGAGGGGCAGGCGGGCAGCCCCCGGGACAGCCCAGGCACAGGTGCTACTGCAGGAGTGGGGCCCTGGGAGGGCCTTGGCAGAAGCATGGTGACTCCTGTTTTATCAGGACTGCTTCGGCAGCTATGTGGGGAGTTGACCTAAGGAGCTTAGATGAAGGCGGGAAGGCCAGTTAGGAGTGGAGAGAGGCCGTGAACCCTGGGTGATGGGAAGGGGACAGGCAGAGTGCTGAGCTGGAGGTGTGAAGCAGCAGGGGGAGGGTGGGGCTGGAGGTGTGAGGCAGCAGGGGGAGGGCGGGGCTG